GTTTCCAGAAAATTTGAGCGGAAAGTACAGAGAGTTCCCATCTACCCTCTCTTTCTTTCCCCTTCCATGTCCCATGCCTGACAGGTTCTCCTACTGTTAACATCTTGCATTAGTAGGGTACATTTGTTACAATTGAATTAGTATTATTACATCATTATTAACTGAAGTCCGTAGTTAAGTTAGGATTCAGTCCGTGTTGTACAAGTTTATAAATTTTGACAAATGCATAATGTTATGTATGTCATTGCAGTATTATTCAGAATAGGTGCACTGCCCCCAAATCCCTTGGGCTCCACCTGTTCAAGTATACTCCTTTTAAAGTAGTCTAAACTCTGCTTAAAATGAACCCTAAGCTATTAACCCTATTAATGCACATTTTAGTTGCTTCCCGGAAATTGATCAGTACCCCAGAAAGGTCTTAGTGAGTGAATACTTGTTATTTAGGATACTGGCCCATGATTGATCTTTGGTACTATTTATTCAACCCCCACATCCAGATGAAGAACATCTTATCACATCTTATAACTGGGGTGGTTCTAATTGTAGTCCCCCCCTTACCTGCGGGTTCACTTTCCACGGTTTCAGTTACCCGTGGTCTGGGAGCAGATGATCCTCCTCCTGACAGATCATCAGAAGGTCCATAGTAGCCTAACACTAGGTCACAACACCTACATCATTCCCCTTACTGCATCTCCTCACGGGGGCATTTTCTCATCTCATATCGTCATACGGAGAATGGTGAGTACAGGACAATAAGGTATTTTTAGAGAAAGACAGCATTCACATAAGTTTTATTACAGTACTTTGTTGTCTATTTTATTATTATTGTTTTTAATCTCTTACTATGCCTAATTTACAAATTAAACTTTATCATGGGTATGTATATATAGAAAAAAACATAGTATGTAGGGTTTGGTACTATCTACAGTTTCAGATATCTACTGGGGGTCTGGGAGTGTATCCCCCGTGGATGAGGAGGGTGACTATTGTATAGTTAAAATTACTCTTGACAGTTCCTTGAAGGGTGCCTGGGTGGTTCAGTGGGTGGGTGGCCGACTCTTGATTTCAGCTCAGATCATGATCTCAGGGTCCTGGGATCTGGCCCCGTGCCAGGCTCCACCCTCAGCAGGAAGTCTGCTTGAGATCTCCACCCCCCTTCTCTAAAATAAATTAATAAATCTTAAGAAGAAAAGAAAAGAAAAAAAATTCCTTGAAAAGATGACATGTCAAAGAGCAGAGTTTATCTTTCAATAAATTCAACACAGGGAGTAATTTTCTTCTGTTGAAACACAGAGCTGTTTCTTTAGTTAGGCACTAACATGTAAGTTGCTGGTGTTTACCAAGCATGTAATAAATGCTAGAAAAATCTCAGTGTTGTGAGATGCTGGTGCTTTGAGGACACAGGAACTAAAGCCTTGTTAAGGGGCCACAACTTCAAACCTCCCTTTTATTCTCTCTTTTTTTTTTTCCTCCCGTTTATTCTCAACTACGAGCTCAGTGAACAGAATGATGGATAAAATCTCTCCCTTACTTCTGTCCCTTCTCCTCTCTCTTTTGCTTCTATATACTAGTGTGCACTATATACCCAGTACATACTTCCTAAAAGAATAAATGAAGTTACAGTGAATAGCAGCTTCTACTCTAGTGAGGTCTTGATTGCCACAAAATTAACTATAACCCAAAGAGGTAACTGAGTGCTAGGCTAAGTTCTTGGAACATAGCATATAGTTCACATGGACCCAGAAGATAATAATAGATATGTAATTGTTGGTGATGATGAATAGCAAAAAGTGTTGTCCTTAGCCTATCATTTTAGAATATATACATGTATTTGCCCTTCATAAAAAACTCATAAGCCAACTTCTTTGAAAAAGGAAGTGGGATTTGAAGGACAGAGCATAAAAGAAATTATTAAGAAAAATAAATATCATTACTGGGAGTTGACAGTTGACCTTTAACATGAATAAATTGGATTGTGGTATATTTGGTTTTCAGGAAGTCCAAACCTGTTTTCCAAGATTGTCAATGTGGTTAAGGCTTACTGCGTAGATTTCAAATGAATAGAGAGATTTATCCTTACATAAGAACAGGAGCCAAGAGACTTTTTATTTCCTGTAGTAATTTGTAAAGCTGGATCTTTCCCCTTTAGGAAGGGCCACAACCTTCATTTGGAAGTGTAATGTTGACAGGTACAAATCATAGTGTCTCCAAGCTAGGTAACACTCAGCTCTCTGTTCTTACTGAAAGACAGTAAGCGTATGTACAGTTTGCTCAGTGGGTTCACTTGATTGCCTTGTAGCACGGTCAGGAAATGTGAGGGTAAAGGCAAAAGACAAAATTTCTGTAGACATAGAAGGAGAACCACTTACACCCAAGCCTGATCCGGTGACAGGAGTGAGCAATTTCTAATACAGCACAGGACAATGTGGGTCAAATAAAACCTATCTGCAGGCCACGCTTGGTTCCCCAGATTCATCTCTAACAATTGATCTGTGAGTGTTGAATGAATGCTTTGGGAGGAGATTCACCTTAGGTTGTGTTTGGTCCTCCAGTTGGGGGTTCATCTCTTCCAGTGCGAATCGCTGGGGCAAACCCCAGGGAAGCTAATGTGAAAATGCATGAATGATGCCTCCTGAAATTCATTGGTTCAGTGTTTTCATTTGTAACTAGCAGGTGAGGGTGAAGGGGAGCTATGCCTTGCCAAAATGAGAAGGTGTGCGTTGGCTCTTTGGGACACTGTTCTGAGAGTCTGTCAAGGAAGCAGGTCATGGTCTTATCCTTTAAAGCCAAGTAGACTGGGTCTGCCTTCTGGCTTCCCTACACAGTTGCTGTGAGACATTGAGGAGTGGCTTAGCCTCTGGAAACCTCTCTTGCCTGTAAAGCATGGATAATAATAGTACCTACCACATGGAAAAAGTTGTGATGAGAACTATGAGGTAAATAATGACTTAGGAAGTGTGTTGCATGGGGTCGCCTGAGTTGCTTAGTCGTTTAAGCATCCAGCTCTTGATTTTGGCTCAGGTCATGATCTCAGGGTCATGAGATCGAGTCCCGCATTGGGCTCTGCACTCAGTGGGGAGTCTGCTTGAGATTCTCCCTCTCCCTGTGCCCCTCCCCCTGCTCTTTCTCCTTCTCTCTCTCAAATAAATAAATAAATCTAAAAAAAAAAAAGTGTGTTGCAGGATGCCTGGCTCTCAACAAAGGATGGGTCATGGTAAAAATATGAAACAGTGGAAAGTAGGAGGAAAAGACTTACCAATGTGCTGTTAGATGGACACCAGTTTGGTCAGGATTTTGAGTAGCTCTTTATATACTTATCCGAAGCTCTGATAGACCCCAGAAAGTCATGTCTGTTTTCTCACAGACTACCTTCTTAAATACTTGGGGCAGTTTTTGAGAGTATTTTCTCTCATACTGTGTAGGCCAGCTATGACTGGGTTATATTACCTGTTCTTCCTTGTATTAAGTTCTATAAAGACCACACCCCTCTCTCTCTCTCTCTCTCTCTCTCTCTCTCTCTTTAATTTTTAAGTAAGCTCTATACACCCAACATGGGCCTTGAACTCACATTCCCAAGATCAAGAGTCATATGTTCTACCAACTAAGCCAGCCAGGCACTCCCACACCCCTCTCTTTTGACAACTAGAATTTTGCCATTTTATAATGAGATAATAGCCAACCTTACACGAAGTATGTGTTTAGTTCACTTGATGCAATTTGAGCAATAGCGTGAGTTTCATTACAAATACATTTTCACGTCATCTTCTGTTCAGGTGATTTCTAGTTGGCCAACTTGATTATTTAATTTCAGAGTGTGGTAAGGAAATAACCAACAAGTAATAGAAAAGTCTATATGCACTTTTTAAAAAAGATTTTATTTATTTGGGGCGCCTGGGTGGTTCAGTCGGTTAAGCATCTGTCTTTGGCTCAAGTCACGGTCTCAGGGTCCTAGGATCAAGCCCAGTGTCGGGCTCCCTGCTCGCAGGGAGCCTGCTTCTCCCTCTCCTCCCTGCTCATGTTCTCTCTTGCTGTCTTTCTCTCTCAACTAAATAAAGATTTTTTTAAAGATTTTATTTATTTACTTATTTATTTGACAGAGAGAGACACAGCGAGAGAGGGAACACAGGCAGGGGGAGTGGGGAAGGGAGAAGCAGGCTTCCCGCCGAGCAGGGAGCCCGATGCGGGGCTCGATCCCAGGACCCTGGGATCATGACCTGAGCCGAAGGCAGCTGCTTAACGACTGAGCCACCCAGGAGCCCCAATAAATAAAAATTTTTTATTAAATCTTTTATTAAAGATTTTATTTATTTATTTGAGAGAGGGAGAGAGTGCCCATGATCTACGGGGAGGGGCGGAGGGAGAGGGAGAAGCAGACTCCCCACTTAGCGGCAAGCCCATTGTGGAGCTTGATCCCAGGACCCTGTAATCATGACCTGAGCCAAAGGCAGACACTTAATCTACTGAGCCACCCAGGTGCCCCTCTATAAACTTTTTATTGAATTGACATCTATTATGAAAAATTGGTAATACTACGGGTGGTTTTTATGATAACCTATATTCCAACAATATTATGTTGGCGCTAAAGATCATTATGAGGGTGCTATAGGAACATAGAGAAATATGTAACGAAATTTGAAGAATGCTATATAAAAATGGAATATCCACAATTATAATAATTATGTAATAGAATAGATACACATAGGAAATCTACAATGAAAATGGCTGCAAGTTTATCAGGAGAGTAAGGAAAATAGGATTATGGCACTTGAATACTGTTATTTTAATTTTTTTGGTCTTTATAAAAACTTCAAAATATCAGATGGCTTGGGGGGTTCAGTTGGCGGCTGTTTCTAATTGAATCCATAGCCTTATGTGTGTACTGACAATACTTGGCTAGAGCCCACTATACTGTAGTTATTTATCAGATTTTCTCTGGTCACTAGCTTGGATGATATTTTAGATAATGGTGACTGACATTACTGTATTCCTCTTCTTTTCAGTGATGAAAATGCCAGGAAAGATTTAAAGACCCTACCAGCCTTTCCAACCAAAACTCTTCAGGAGCATCCATCCCTTGCTTACTGGTAAGCCAGAGCAAGACAACAGGTGACCTTGATATCATAGCCTCCATTGAGAACTGCATGCTTTTCAAGAAATTAAAAGAAACATAAGTGAAGAAAGTATCAAATAGCCCATCACATGCATCAGAGTGACTATAAGTAGACCTTGATCCTTTCCGTGAGAGGGTCTTGCCAAAGCTACTGGAGATCATCATACTAAGATTGTAGTCATTTGTGAAGTGTGGCTACTTGCCTTCTCATTCACATGTGTTAAAGGTCTGTAGAGAGCACTTTTAAGTAAACATAATGCTCAATACGTGTGCAGTCGCTGTGTAATGTGGCCGTAATCTAGCAGAGTGTAATATACATGTTATAAAATACAGATTTCCTTGGATGGAGGTTTTCTTAATGGCCAGAAATGACCTGACTGATCAGAAGTGTCTTCTGTGGCCAAAAATTGTTGTATATTTCAAGTCGTTCTATTTGTTTCTATTTTAATAAATCCATAGTACCCATTTTCCTTACAGCATTTTTCCTAGAAAAGTACTTATTTCCCCCTTTGAATTAGTTACATCCCCTTTAAATACAGTTTCCTTGACTTATGGCTCTGAATCCTGAAGATAGTTTTCTTTTCCACTGAAAAACTGATTACAAAATAAATATTCAACATGAATAGCTTTAATAGGAAAGATGAAATGCAGTTCCCACAGAAAGAGCAAAAGTGAGACCTGAGACTACATTGCTTCCTGAGTCTGGAATCTTCCAAACAAATCCTTGTTAAGTGATAGTTTCTTAAGAAAAAAAAAAAACAAAGACCATTTACCACTGATTACTGGTTGTGTAGAGATAAAAACATTTACCCTTCTAGGTTATACTTGAGATATGACGGGTCTCTGTAAGTAGGGTACAGTAGCTGACATCAAAGGTGAAAGACTGTAGCCTAGTTCTTGCCTTTCTAGTCAACAAGTTTGGCTTTTTTTTTTTAACTTTTTTTTTTTTTTACTAAGTAATCTCTACCCCCAGTGTAGGGCTTGAACTCATGACCCCAAGATCAAGGGTCACATTTTCTACTGACTGAGCCAGCCAGGTGCCCCTCTAGTCAACAAGTTTTATATTGGGACAATAATGAAGGGTTTTCTCTGAAAGCAGTGTGCCCCAGGTAGCGAGTGACAAGAGGGTATTTTGGATTGCACACCGGACTCAGAACAGTTTTAATCCTCTCTAAATCTTTGTGGATAATTTAAGGAAAATGCCTTTAATAACTAACACATGCTGATCTCTTTTTTTTAAGCCATTTAATTTCCCTAGCAAGGCTCACTAATTAGTATTTAATAATAATATTTTGTATTTTATATCCCAATTATGAAAAATACCAGTTTTTCATATGATAAATTGATATTATCTTTCCTTTTCCAATAAATTGTTTTTAAAAGTATTGATGTATTTATATATCATATAAAATATAAATAAAAATTCATGATAGTAGCCAAATGTCTGAGGGTCAGGAATCCATGTCCTACAGAAACTCAAATCAGCCAGCTTCTATCTCCCAGACAAGTTGGTGAAGGTCCTTATTCTCAAGTTTCTCAACAAGCCAGGTGAGAGTCTTGAAACTGGGTCTGTACCTCATATAATCGTGCACACCATATTTCTCATTTCCTTGTTTTACAGTGAGGACAGGGTAATTGAGCATTATTTGAAAATCAAAGGTCTGACTCGGGGTCAAGCGGTGGTTCAGTAAGTATCTGTCTTTCCTTTTACTTAGATAGAATTTTAATGTCTTCTGTTTGAAGAAATCATCTGAAAATGATTTCTATTGTGTGGTTTGTGTGTATATCGTCCCCATCTGGTTAGAAAAGCCTTGCTATGAATTATAAAATGCCTTGAGTCATTCCATAGCTGGTGTTATTAATTCAGATATCATCCAGTGTCAGGCAGGTAGCAAAACAGAAATTTAGGCCAAGTGTAGGGCAATAGGGAGTGGTGGGGACTGAAGTAAACTGGAGAGCTGTTGTCCTGAGTAGAGGCAAGGTGATTCAGTCTCAGAAATCAGGCCTAAAGCTATCAGACCTGATATTTCTAAGAAAAGCTGGAAATTCTGATTTTTAAAATCCAATTTTAAACATTGCAAAGTAATTTTAAGAAAATTTTATTACAACGCAAGCCAAACAAAACCTATCTGGAGGCCATGTTTGGTTGCCTAGTTTGCGACTCTACTTGGAGTAGAGCATACAGTGTTGGTGTTGGATAATCTATGTCTGCATGCTACCAAGAACAGACCAGTGATATATCTCTGCATTTTAGACTTACAGAGTTACCACCCATTTATTTATTTATTTTTAAGATTTATTAAAATCAGCGGGGAGCCCTGACGCAGGGCCTGATTCCAGGATTTTGAGATCATGACCTGAACCGAAACCAAGAGTCTGAGGCTTAAGCGACTGAGCCATCCAGGCACCCCACCATCCATTTATTAACAATAGTCCACAAGCTACGTTGAAGTTTTAAAATTACAAGAACTAAATTTATAATTTTATAATTTTAAAATTATTAAATGAATATAGCATTATTGCTGTAGTAATTGTAGAATAACTTTTATGGCCATAGAAGTTCTTTTAAAAACCCACTGAATATCGCTCAGAGCATGTGAGAACTGAAGTAAGGACTTAGAGACCGCATTTCCCCTAGTCAGTGTATAGATCTCCCTTACGACCTCTACCTCTTGCACTAATCGCCTTTTTATCACGGCCCACCTTCTGTGGTCTTCAAGGCAGAAATCAAAAATGAGCGGTCCTGAAGTTGAATCCTTGACATTTTAACTCGTGGTGCTTGTTTTCTGCGGGGGTGGGAAACGAGGAGTAACAACTTCCCTGAAGGATTTTAGGTTAGGCTAATGAGCATGTTATGAAGTGTCCTTGTTTAAATGCAGAGTCCTTTTACTTCCCTTGATCGTTATGGTTGTGGCTCCAAGTAAGAGACTAACTTGGTGGTTAAGGCTCTAGACTGTAATCCATCTCACTTTGTTAGAATCTTGGTTGTGCAGTGTATTTGCTGCATGTTGCTGGCACATTTTACATACAGGCCATTTACTTTTTAAAAAAGCATCCCAAATTATTGATTACAAAACCCAGAGCAATTGATATTCAAACTGTCATTAAAAAGCCCACTTGTACTAAACAGGAACCTCAATTCTTTGTGAGCAGAGAGGAAGTCTTACACAATTTTATTTCACTCCATAAAACCTTAGAAGTACACAGTCAATATTTGTTGATTAGAAATAGTAAATGGAGTAAATGGAGAAATCATTGTTTTAATTTTTATTTGGAGGGGTATTTTTTTAAAGATTTTATTTATTTATTTGAGAGAGAGAATGAGAGAGAGAGAGCACATGAGAGGGAAGAGGGTCAGAGGGAGAAGCAGACTCCCCGCTGAGCAGGGAGCCCGATGCCGGGACTCGATCCCGGGACTCCAGGATCATGACCTGAGCCGAAGGCAGTCGCTTAACCAACTGAGCCACCCAGGCGCCCTGGAGGGGTATATTTTTTAAAATCAGTTTGATATACAATAAAATTCATCCTTTTTAGGTACATATTTCTTAGAGTTTAGACCTAAGAGTTAAGTAGATATTTCTAAGAGTTTACCACAATCAGTAAATGGAATCACTTCATTTTTTTTTGACAATTTATTTTTTTGACTATATGTATGTACGTATGTATGTAATTTCTAGGCCCAACATGGTACTCCAACTCACAATCCCAAGATCAAGAGCCATATGGTCTGCTGACTGAGCCAGCTAGGTGGCCTACAATTGCTTTACTTTTTACTTGTTATGAGCATGACCCAAAAGTTGTTCTCATTGCTTTGCATTAAGTGCTTAGTTTGGTGCTTAGTTTTAAAAATACTTGCAGTTTGGGTTTATGATACAGAAACATACTAGAATATGTTTCTAAGACATAGAAATCTTAATATGCAGAAAATAACATTTCTTATAGCTTTTGGGAATTGAAGTTTTGTTAGCAACTTCCTAACATTTGGGTAAGGTAAAATATATTACTCCCTAGAATGGCTTATTCTATTTCTACTTTAGTCAGAGGCATTAGCCATGGTTGTAATGAGGAAAGTAGACACAAATTGTGTTTCTTTTCTTTTCTTTTTTTTAAGATTTATTTATTTATTTGAGAGTGAGCGAGCAGGGGGAGGGGCAAAGAGAGAGGGAGAGAGAACCTAAAGCAGACTCTCCGCTGAGTGCAGAGCCCTGCGGGGGTTGATCTCAGGATCCTGAGATCATGACCTGAGCCGAAATCAAGAATTGGACACTTAACTGACTGAGCCACCCAGGCGCCCCACAAATCATATTTCTGTACATCACTTTTCCCAAAATGATCCTCTAATTTATTAAGAGATTATAATATATATTCATTTTTCGTAGGTATATGAAAATAGTAGAAGCTCTACCCACATATGGAGTCCATTATTATGCAGTAAAGGTAAATACTTTTGCACATGTTAGTTTGACAGCACCAATGTCTAAAATCACATAAATTAATATGCATATGTATGCAAATTATCTCTATAAATTTCAACATTTAAAATATGATGGATTTTCTTAAAAAATTAAAAGCCTGATTATATCTTGTCATTTGTAGAAAATTATAAGGCTCGTTATTTTTGTAAAATACTTGCTCCATTCAAATGTTTTCCCAAAACCTCTATTAATCCTAACGTACTCAAATTATTCTCTTTTAGCACATCCATTCCTTTTACCTATTTTTGCTGCTATTTCTCTTCCCCAGTGGTTCACCTGTCTAATAGTGCCGGATACTCACTTGATAGAACCTTTATATGAGAATCATAAACTTGCCATTGTCATTTCAGCAAATTCATAAAGTTCTCAAAATTTTGCAGGATTTGTGATAGCAATTTTCAATTGGTATATTTCATATTTGGGTAGTATTTTCAGGTGTTTTCTTTCTTTTTTTTTTTAATTTATTCATGAGAGACAGAGGGAGAGAGAGGGAGAAGCAGGCTCCCAAGGAGCAGGGAGCCCAATGCGGGACTCGATCCCAGGACTCTGGGATCATGACCTGAGCCGAAGGCAGATGCTTAACCATCTGAGCCACCCAGGCGCCCTCAGGTGTTTTCAAGCAGGGAGAGATTGATTAAGAATGAAGGGGGGGGAATCAGAGGGGGCGACGAACCATGAGAGACTATGGACTCTGGAAATTAAACTGAGGGTTCTAGAGGGGAGGGGGGGAGGATGTGTTAGCCTGGTGTTGGGTATTAAAGAGGGCACGTTCTGCATGGAGCACTGGGTGTTATACGCAAACAGTGAATCATGGAACACTACATCAAAAACTAATGATGTAATGTATGGTGATTAACATAACATAATAAAAAAAAGAACTATTTTGAGATGTAAGGGATAAAGCACCATTAAGAAGGGGGTCTTGTTTGAAAGGAATTTTATCATAGATGAATCTTGAGTGACTTTTCAAGTTACAACAGTATTTGCAATTCAAAATGGGAGATTAAGTAATAAATACTTGCATAATGAGGATACCTTGTACTAAAAATATGCAGCAATTCAACTTCGGTTTCTCCCGATTCCTGATTTTTTTGCATATGGGTATATGTTTAAGTCTAAATTTTTCTTTCCCTATGTCAATACATCCTTTGCTTTGGCAAGACCTAAAAGATAAATTTATGAAAAAAAAATTCCTCTCCTCCCCATATGTACCTCAAAGTGATGATTCAAACATCCTGCCATTGAATCATACAGTTCTCCAAAAGAGCTTTTCAGTATTCCCACATTCATTGTTAAGCGGATTATAAACATCAGGTTTGCAGCCACCTTTCTCATCTTTGTAATTCTTTGGAAACTTCCCTGACCATTATAACTGGTTACTGATCAAGAGAACAGAGAGCTTTTTTTCTTTTTCTTTTTAGTTTCTTTTCTTTTCTTTTCTTTTCTTTTTAAATGGATAACTGGCTTTCCACTTGGGATTAATTTTACATTTTCTTTCTTTTCTCCAACAGTCAAGACAATAATGGTTCATTCTTTTTGATGGCATTAATAGTGTTGATCTAACTTATGGACCTTTTTTGAAGGCATTTTAATAGGAAATTAGGTTTTTAAGTAATGTTTTGTTTACCAAGGCAACTTTATTGTGACTTGCTGATATTTGTTAAAAGATGAAATTGGTAAATCTTTACCTCTAGAAGACTGAACAATTAGGGCTTGGTTCTCATGTTTTTCCATCTTCCAGGATAAACAAGGACTTCCTTGGTGGCTTGGAATCAGCTATAAAGGAATCGGCCAGTATGATTTGCAAGATAAAGTGAAACCTCGGAAAGTAAGTGTGGATCATTTTAGGCACATAGGAAAACTTAAGCTATTCTGGATTTGGCAACATTGCTTTAATGGGCACCGGAATAGTCTCAGACAAGTAACTTTCGTTAGTGAAGCCATGGGTTCAGAGAAGGCTCAGGTTAAGTGAAAAATGCTTTTTATAACTAATTTATGTACCTTTCACCCAGCAGTTCCACATCTGATCATTTATTCTAAGGGAATTAAGTTATGCACAAAGACTTAACTGTAAGGATGTTGATCCCAACTTCATTTGTAGATGCATACAATTAGATTTCTATTTTAAGGTCATATGAAGAGAAGGATGACATTTGTTTTCCAAGTTTTGTATATATCTATCTGTTATATAGGCATAAAATATTTATTTATATATATAGTTATATATAATGTTAATATATTTTTTACATAAATTATATACATACACACACATATATACATACATACATATACATACATATGCTTACTGACATTGGATGGATACACAGGTGGATGAATTGTGAAGACATAAGCCTGAGTATTTGGTGCTGGCTCCCTCTCAGTAATCCAGTCCTGACTGATCTTTTGACTACTGCTGCTATTTTCACTTATCTTTGGTTCACAGTTTTCCACACGAAACATGTCTGCTTTTTTCAAAAGAAAAATAAGTTCTGTGCTGTTTATTAAAAGTCACACTCTCTCAGGTTTGGGTGTTCCAGACCTAATAAATGACGTTATTTTCCATTTGAACTGTGGCCATGACGCGTCTTCTCTTGATCCAAGCACAGACGTATAATCCGTTTCTGCCCATATGAGAATGGATGAGTCTGTGTAGACAGCCACCCACCTGCCCTGGCCTAACCGTGTATTATAATGACGCGAAGGTTTACTCATGCCACCCCTGGTTGGTTTCACTGCCCTCCCTGTGCTCTGCCAGCAGCGCGCGACACGACAGTGAAACAGTGACCTATAATAGCAGACCATGTGCTATCACACCCCGACATTGAAGCCTTGAATAACTCCTATCATTTCCATCTGTCTCGTGCTTTAATGTCTGTTAGAAAAACAGCCATATTCATCATAAAGCGGCCTTTGTCATCATACCACAGCATTATTCGTCTTCTTTGTGGTTTTTCAGCTTTTATCAATGCTCACAATCTTTCGTTGAGTTAAAATAACTAAGCTCCTCTTTTCTCCCCATTTTATGATTGTGAAGCTGACACAGACAACACAAAGGGGTGGCCCAGGGCTCACCCCCTCCTAATGCCAGTCCTGCCCTCCCGGAGCAGACTAGCTGAGCATTGAGCCTTCTTATTGGAAAATATTGATCAAAATAATAAAATAACATTTCATAATCTATTTCCATCTGTGTGAGGGACAGGAAGACAGCATGTATGTAATCCTATAACAAAGTGGTGTCTCTGTAAGCCCTGTGACCAAGATCAATTGAAGTAAGGTATACTTACTTAATTTCTAGGAGGAGTATGAATAATGTTGTTCATACTTGAAAATTTGCCTCTAAGACCAAATTTCAAATAAATAATGTTAGAAATGATGGGCATATGATTTTTTTCAAAATCATTTTTATTTATAGTTACTTTTTTAACCAAAAGGTATACATAGCCATTGTAAAAACAACAAAAATACAAACTACAGAAACATGTCAGTTAGGGCAGGAAGTCCTTCTGCAATTCCCATCCCTTCCCCATAATAACCACAGTCAGGAGAATGATAACTGGTTCATTGAGACTTTGTCAGTGTATATCCTAAGCTTTCCAGAAAGAGAAATCTTTCTATGCACACTATTTCGTCCCATGTCCTATTTCTCCAGGTTACTTTATAAACACATCTCTCTTCACTCGGTCTAAAGCTGCCCAGTATCCAATATGTGGAAATACATACAAATACTGATTTGCTTTTGATGGACATTATGGTTGTTAACTGTGGGGGTCCGTGGCGGGGAGAGGGAGCATAATGAATTCCAGTCAAGGCATATAACTAATCCCTAGTTTATCTATTTTATATTACCAAATCATTGCTTATCGTGTTTTCTTGAGGTAGACCTCAACCTATATTAACATTTTTTGGTCATTTATTTCTCTGCTGAATTTTACTTTAAGAAATAACATTCAGGAGTCTCACTAGTTTCGCTGAATCTTTCATGTCGTATATAACTTAAATCAACTCACAAGTCATCTCTTAGCGAATGTGGCTTCATGAAATTGAGAATCCTGCAGAATATAAATGCACCTACTAAAAACAACCAGACTTTCTCCCAAAATAATGGTGAATCAGAATCTGCGCAGTAAATATTGCAGCGAATTTCCTTTCAGTTGCTTATGACTCACAGCCCTTTCTTTACATTCACAGTTTCATAGGAATTGGTCAATATTGTTTGACACTGATCACAATCAGGCTTGCTTGTTCATCCCAGAGTTGAGACAAGGATTAGAAGACACTTTCTTTTTTCGACTGGCAGAGTTTTTGTTTTCATTTTCAAGATGTGCCATTCAATTCAAAAAGGACCTAACCGGGCCATCTTGTTTACCACTGCCTCGTCTTCTCTGTCTTGGTTATTTTTGCAGCTGTCCACTGTACCACTGTTTGCATCCTCCTTCTTCTGTTAAAACCCGACAATGGATTTTGCTCCCATCTGTTTCTTTTTCCATGGCCAAACAACCTACGGGTTTAATTAGAGGGAGAATGTTCTACAAGTCACTGCCCTGGCCCAGTTGGTCCAAATGAAAGAGCCATAATTTAAAAGGCCGTGAGCACTGACTTGTAAAGAGGAGGATCATGCTTCAGCTGTTTGCATGACCTGGGCCCACAGCAAGTTACCAGTGGCCGAGCAGGAATGAAGGTCAAGATTGGCAAACCCTGAAACAAAGGCTGGAATGGGAGGCCTTGGAGATGCTCAGCCTCTTGAGCTGCTTGTTACACATGCCTGCTGAGTTACAATTATGTAGCTTAAAAACAGGCCAGAAGGGGGAAGATTGGCCAATAATAAGAGAGACTGACTAATGCCAAAGCCTATTTCGAAAAAAATGTTTGCCCAAGACCCACAAGCTGAAGCTTTCTGTCCTTTCCATATAATGTCTATTAGTTGTAGCCTAGAAATGTTGGGGCCTCTGTTTCTCGTACCTGCCAGAACACCCAGTTCTTCATGTATTTTGGCTCTAAGGCTTTTGCCAGTCGTGGGGGAAAGTTTTCAGTCTGTGTAGGATAATGATGCAGAGCAAGAATTTGGGAAGCAACCCATGGCCTGTCTTTGGTGTCTGGTGTCTGTTTGCTCTGTGACCTTGGGCATGTTTTTTTAATCTCTCTTTAAACTCGGTGTCTTCGTCTGCACCACGGTAATACCACTGACGGCATAGGGTGTTTGTATGAATTACATGAGATTATATTCAGCACTGTGCCTGATACACAGTCCTCACTACGCAACTGGTTGTTGTTCATTGGTAGTGACAGAGAAAGACAATTTAAAAAGGTATGAGAAATAGGCTTGGTCAGAGAAGGACCCAACATTGCTACAGACTTGTAGCCCTAGCGTCCTAAGAGTCCACACTCAGATTTTCTCTTTTCAGAGACTCTTAAGCACTCTGTGCCAATTTATTAACTGTAATGCCCTAAGGCATGATGCAAATTAAGAGAATTTTAAAATTCTGAGTAACAAACCACAAAAATTCAGGGTATTAAAAATTCAGATCACAAGCAGTTTTTTTTTCTTCTTAATTCTCCCTTTATGCATGAAATGTGTCATTGCAAACTCTTATGGAATGTGAAAACATACCAGAACTCAACTTAATTTCAAATCGTAGGACATTTGAACTTAAAAACAGTGAAGTTTTACATTTAAAACAAAAATGCAAGCTTGTGTTCCCTAGGGTTTTTATTGCTCGTTCAGTATTTCAAGGAAAAATGTCATTTCTTCACAACGAGGTAGAGTGGGCCAGTGGCTAAGTGAAGTATTGATAGATGTCATGACTGATTTGTAGCCCTCCAGCAAGTTATTTGACCTGGGAAAACCAGACCCTGTCAGAGATGGGAGAAATAAAAAAGGTACGCCAGCCAGGGTGTCACCAGCAGACCTTGGTGGGATAAAATGCTGTTCAAGATTAGTATCTTCGTGCATTATAACTGCTAACCAAGTTTTGTGATGTGCATCATCACCCCGGGGCATTTCAGGGTGGGGAAAGAGTTCTTAGCCTGTTAACTGATTTTTTTTTTTAAACTATTGGAATTCCCAAAAGCCTAGAGCCAGATGAATTAAGTCACAAGTACAGGAATCTTCCTGTTTCCTTGTCAGGAAAGTACAGGGTTCATTTCATTTAAACTCGGAGACTTGCTTACTTTTCTAAGCACAGCCATCTTGACATTTCTTGCCACTCCCGGTTTTTCCACCACCTGCTGCCACCTCACCAGGGAGCTCGATGGGGCTTCTCCTTCTAACACTGCTTAAGTTCTGGATGAGCTTAGCTGCAGGAGAAGGAGGAACATGTGCTGTCCAGTCACACTTTCTACGTCGGTACATAATAAAGTATGGTGTGGAAGAAAAGAATGGAATTAGAGAATGTTAGAGAATGTCAACTGAAGACCGGTCCATCCTGTTTGTAAAGTGTCTAAATTAAGCTCCATCCACACCAATAATCAATCTAATCGTTAAAGCCTTCTGCAGAGTCACTGGGAGGAGAGCTCAAATCCTACGTGGGGTTGAAATAAGAAACCAGTCCTGCACTCCTGCCTACTGGTTGGCTGACCTGGAGCTGTCACTCAACCTTTCTGGGTCTTTATTTCCTCAACTTTCAAATTCCAATAATTCTGTCTACTCTATCTACCTCAAAGATCATTGTGAGGACCCAGTGGGTTAGTGACTAATTTTACCGAGTAGATTTTTTTTTTCCTTCCTACCATATTATGATGTATAGAAGACTGTAGATATTTTTCTTCCCCTCCTGTAAGCTCATCACAGGATTTTAAGCAGTTCTTCTAAGACAAGGAACTCTCAGAGAA